CCCAGGTGCTGGAGTGCAAGGGGTGTTGGCAGCGCGGTTGCTGGTTACTATCCATGCTGTTTATACCCACTAGTTTGTTCTTACTGGGGCTGACCTTGGAGTCACCTCCCCCGGTGCCGCACTCGCCCTTGTCGTACCACCATTTGTTTTTCAATTTGTCCAAAAGCCCCTGCTCGTTCAGTTTTAACACTGCCAGGTTTACTGGGTTTCTTTAAAATGAATAGATAACACTCGATGAGTAACAGGCGGAGAACACTCGTCAAGTCACGTGACAAGGGATTGGTGAACCAGCGCCCCCGATCCAGCCTTCCCCCACAAGCTTCACTCCCTTGCAATCAGAAAATAATTCCCCGGGATCTCTACACCTAAGATACTGCAGAGAATTACGCCCAAGAGATGATTTGCTTTGGGGAATAGCAGTCTACATTTTATACTTTCTTCTGCAGCAGCCAAATTGGTGTGTAAATGTAAAGAGATATTTCTAGGCACCCACATAGCTTTTTACAAAAAAATAAAATAAATTAAATGCAAGAACAACGATACTGTCATTTGTAGGGATATAGCCACGGTGCAGGTTTGGGGAACCTTTTGGAGTGGGGGAGGGGAGTCTGGCTCGCCCATTCCTCTTGAGTGATTCTCACATCACAAAAGACATATAAAAACAACATGATTAGCAATCATTTCTCATTAAGTAAACACAAAGAAAAACATTTAGTCAATTCAAGAAGAACCGTAACATGTTCAAATTAACAGGTGATTGAGATACACGTCAGACACTTCAGGACCGTATGAAAACTGAGGGGCAGAGCCTCAGCTGGCATAAACCAGCGTAGCTCTGCTGAAGTTGTGGTACCTATTTACCCAGCTGAAGGGCTGGCAGAGTCATTGCATTGGGGCCCATTGTGAATTAGCCTCACTCATGTGGGCTCCAGGGCTTCCAGTATCTCAGGGCTAAGGGCCCTTTCCTTAGTTTACGATATGAATTCTTTCCAGAGCCTTTCCCTTCTCCCTTTTGGTTGTTTCAGTGGGCTATGAATGGTATGTATGCTCAATGGTATCCTTAGTGTGTTCCCTGTTTATAATATATATATATAATGTCTTGTACAAGCATCTCCCAGCTGATGGAAAAAACCTTGGCATAGATCCTACTGGTCTGGCTGGTGGGTAGGTGCTTTCCTTTAGTTCACCTGGAAGAGCAATCTGGGTTTGAAGTCTTGAGTAGCGTGCCAATCACGCACCGTGCCATATTCTGCCCTCAGATGCGTTCACACGACACTTGCTGACTTCAGGGGTAAGCATCTGAGGGCATAATTTGGCTTGGCGAGTGCAGCCATAGGTTGAGAAGATTTCACTGATGAGCAAAGTTTGTGTCTGGGCACTGGTTGTCAGACACAACACCGTGTAGACCTCACATCAGATATAGGAAAGAGGACAGGCAGAGTGAGAAACAATCATGAGAAGGCTTTTCAGAGCTTGGAAGAGATGGAGTGTTGACACCTCAAACAATAAATAGCCTTATAGATTCATAGATTCTAAAGCCAGAAGGGCTCATTATGATCAACTAGTCCGACCTTCTGGGTATCTCAGGCCATAGAACTTCCCCAAAATAATTCCTAGAGCAGATCTTTTAGAAAAACATCCAGTCTTGATTTAAAAATGGTCAGTGATCGAGAATCTGCCATGATCCTTGGTAAATTGTTCCAATGGTTAATTATTTTCACGGTTAACGTGAATTATACCTTATTTCCAGTCTGAATTTGCCTAGCTTAAATTTCCAGCCATTGGATTGTGTTAGACCTTTGTCTCCTGGACTGAAGAGCTCATTATTAAATATTTGTTCTCATTGCAGGTACTTATAAACTGATCTCAAGTCACCCTTAACCATCTCTTTGTTGCGCTAGATAGATGGAGTCCTTGCCTCTGTCACTATCAAGCAGGATTTCTAATTCTTTGACTATTCTCATGGGTTGGCTCTGAACCCTCTCCAATTTATCATCATTCTTCTTCAATTGTGGACACCAGAACTGGATGCATTGTTCCAGCAGCAGTCACTCCAGTGCCAAATACAGGAGTAAAATAACCTCTCTGCTCCTATTTGAGATTCCCCTGTTTACGCATCCCAGGATCGCATTAGCTCTTTTGGCCACAGAGTCATATTGGGAGCAGATTTTCCAACATGAACCCCAAATCTTTTTCAGAGTCACTGCTTCCCAGGACAGACACAGTTTGAGACTTATCAGTGAGCCAGTTTTGAATTTAATGTGTGCCATAGTCATTTTGTATCATTTTAGTTTTTTGACTCTGATGGACTCTGTACAGCAAATGCTGAAAAGCCAGTAAAATATCTGGGCTCTCTGGGGAAAGGTGTCTGGTGATTCACTCTACTTGTGTAAGTTAGGGCATGCCTACACTGCCCAACCCTCTCCCCCCTCTTCCCCCCGAAAAACCCAAAGTGTGTTCTTAACTCGGGATAGTTAACTCAGGTTAAAATAGCAGGTGAAGCCACAGCAACTAGGCTAAAGCCTATAGGGCAGCCTGGGGTTGAATTCAAGCTGCTAACCTGAGTTAAAAGCTAAGTTGCCATGTTTCCATTGCTCTTTTAACCTGAGTTAAAGTTAAGAACACACCTTTTTGTTTTTGCAGGGTAGATCTACCCTAAGTTATAATTAAATGCAGTGACAGTGACTATACATGGTAAAAAGCAACAGAGGGTCCTGTGGCACCTTTAAGACTAACAGATGTATTGGAGCATAAGCTTTCGTGGGTGAATATCCACTTCGTCAGATGCAAAACTTATGCTCCAATACATCTGTTAGTCTTAAAGGTGCCACAGGACCCTCTGTTGTTTTTTACAGATCCAGACTAACACGGCGACCCCTCTGATACTATACATGGTAAACTGTATGCAAAAGTAATGAATAATCAAGTAACACACATGATTATTTCTGTCTTCTAAAGCAGAAGGGAAGTTAATTAGCACAGCAATCTCGGATGAACCATTTGCAGAAGATGTAGCTATCGGATGATCTGAGAGTATGTAATTCTTATACAGGCATATGATATTAACACAGTAAATCCTCTGTAGAGCCCCCGAATGTAAAAATCGCTCAGCTGATATTTTGTGTCATGTGTTATACATTTTATTTATTTTTTTCCTAAGAGGTTTCATTTAAAGTAATTGGTTCTTTCTCCAGTTCACAAGGAGTATAGGAAGCCTCCGATATTTCACAGTGACAGGGTCCTTGAGGAAAGATTTAGCTGCTTGCTACTTATTTTCTCTGAAATGTGTCATTTTAGGTGGACTTTTGACAGGGAACATTTTTATTAGTTTATGGGATTTGGAAGAGCTGACACACACGTTTATAGTGCCTCTGGAGAACTTTGCTGAAAGGCCAGGAAGCCAATTCCAAAACAAGAGCAGTCCTATTCCTAAAACATTGCTGTTTCTTTTTAAAATGTGAATTAGAGACTCATATTGGGAGTGTTTTTTCATCGACTTTAATCTATTTTGGACAATTGGGCTTTGCATTATTGTTTTGTTTCCCCAAAGCACCAAATTTACCCATTCAATACTGAATGATGACCAAAGCCAGGTTAATCTGGGGGAGTTGGGAGAGGGGAGCGCTCTTCCACTAACCCCCGGCAGCCCAACATATCTGACACTGAGCTGATGGATGGGGAGGGAGGTGTGCATGTGATATAGGATGAAGGTTGTGTGTCTAGGTTTCCAACCCTGCTCCCATTAAAGTCAAGGTCAAAACTCCTACTAACGTCAGTGGGAGAAAGAGCAGGCTCTCAATATCACTTTCACCACTGAAAAAGAACATTTTATCTGTTCTTTTATGGCTTCCATGCAGAAATAAAGAAGGAAAAGATTAAATCTGATCTAAAATGCAATCACCTAGCCCTCAAAACACATAACGCGAAGGAATCAACTTTGGACGAAAGAAAAAAGGGCTACAACGCCGGATAGCTAGGATTTCATAAGAGATGAAATCATTATGGAGAGAATTTAGATATTACCAAACATACTGACTCAAGTGCTTTCTGATGTAACACATATTAAACTTAGGAGAAATGTGGACTATGATGCAAGCCAGAACCGATGGTTGATGTGTAAATATGAAGTTAGAGATCCTCATTTCTCACACTGGGGACTGGCTGGTAAGCAAATCCCTCTTTTGCCCCTAATGAATGTTTACAAATATGTCTCTGTGTATGTCCAGTGTAGTGGAGTACAGGTGAATAACCTGAGCTTTTAAATGATTTTAACCACTGGTTAAATATTATGAAATAGTTGAAGCTGATATCAGTCCAGCTCTTTGCAGTGTATTAAAATGTCTTTCTGTACCAACAAGCTGTGTTTCAGCAGAGAGTCCCTTTACTTTGTATAAAGATGTTGGCATAATCTAGCGACGACTCAGACCCCATGTCTTTAGGAATGTATAACATCCTTTATCAAGACAGAACACGGTGGCTGTGATTTGTATGTCCTAGATGTGGTTGCTACTTTTATTTGTTTTAAAGTTATTAACGCAAACTGGAAATACAGTAGTAGTCCCACTTACGCGTATTATGAATTTTCTTTTTTGGGGGTTAAACTAAAATGTTTTTAAACTAAATCTCATTTTTTGCTATGACAAATAAACAGCTTTAATTATTGATAGCATACATGATACGCCCATAGTATCTCGGGAAACAACAAGAAAACTTCCTTCTTTTGAAGCAGATCTTGCTCCCATTGAAGCCAATGGTGAAATTCTTGTTGACTTGAAAGGAAACAAGATCAGGGCCTTTAAATTCCCTGAGCCAGTAAGTAGGATTTGTTCCCTGGGTGTCTGAGTGTCACCTTGCTCAGTGCATTCTGTCCCTACGGTGAAGACAGACATCATATGATGACTGTAAAGAAAATACCGAAAGCTTGACAAATAAAACAACAATAAAACAAAACATACATAATGGGACAGAAAATTGACAGCACCCTGTTTCAAAGAAACACCAACAGGTCAAATGGAAAATCAAGCATTCCTCCTTTGCCGTTAGACTGGTTTGGGAGTTTCTTCCACATGCAGTTAACAGAGGTTATGATGCAAAAAAGAAATGGCAGAAATGTTGTATTCTCCTGCCCAGCAAAGAGATATATGGATTAGCTGGATTGAGCGGATTCTTTTGCATTCTCCTCTTGTAGTTTTGCTGGTGGGTTGTTTTTTGTTGTTGTTGTTGTTGTTATTATTAAAAACATTACTAATGGCTTCCTTACATCCTGAACATTGCAGGACAGACTGTTTTTTTGCACATTAGTCCTGCCTCTTAATTTCCATATTTGCAAGACGGAAAATAAATATCGGCGAGAGTATGCCGGCAAAAGCCCTGAAGCTGTGATAGCGCATACCCATTAGTTTGGAGAGACCCAAAGAATTTCATAGCCTGGACAACATATTGATAGAAAGATTGTCTTAAGGACCACCTGCTCTCCATTCACAAACTAGCCACATCTCTCGGGGCAGCTACAGCACTTGCTGACAGGGAAAAGTAATATCAGGAAAGTGTTGAATGCATTTTTAAAGCTGAAAGGTGTAATAGCTGGAAACCATGGCCATGGTTCAGTGCCCATTGAGGACAGCGGGACCAGGCCCCATAAAACCAACCAGATCTTCACTAGAAAATGGTCTGCAGGGTGCTAGTGACCTAGAACCCCAGTTTAAAATCCTCCCCGTTTATAGTCAGTGAACAAGTATCAGTCACTATTAAGGCTCCATTTATAAAGGGTTATTTACTGATCAATAGATGTTTTAATAAATGATGAATCAATTGCAATGGAGTCCCATAGGTCAATAGATTGCTTATCTCCATGTCTTATCACCATCTTTAACGCATTCTCTGATATGCTTTTTAACCATCTGCAACACATACAACTCGTGTCTGTGACATGCTTATAAACACCTCGTGATCATTTAAAAACCCTTTATAAATGGAACCTTAACCGAAAGTGTGACCCAAACAGGGGTACGATTTTGCAGACTGCGGACAGGAGGGTAAGATTTTGTGACAATTACTGTAGATGGTATTAGGATTTATAGCATTTTGGAAAGAAAGTGGCATCCCAATACATAAGTTGCAAGGCCAATAAAAGAATAAGGAAGCTGTTCAGGATACACCCGAGTTGATGAAATCCTGAAGTTTGATGGGACACAGGTGGGCCTCAGACCATCAGGCTTTTTAAATCCTTTTCTATCATCTAGTTCTTCTGCATTCTATTCTGACAAAAGGTGGAGCGGCCAGCGGCATTCTAATCACTTGAAGCTTATTTTACTTTCCATCAGGACAGATCCCGAGTTCCTCACTCAGTTTTCACTTAGGCAAAACTCCCATTGAAGTCAGTGGCACCTCAGGATTTGGTCTATTATGTTTAATGCCTCACCGAGTTTTGAAAGTGAAAATTATTCTCTACCTAACTGATCCTTTTGTACGTTGCTTTCCTACATCTCTCCATCAGGTTTTTCTTTTGCTTGGTTTTTTTACCTTAAAAATAGCAGTAACGTTAAGTCTTGTCCTTCCTTGATTTTTGATGGAGGACTGATTGGAGGATATACACCTTGTGACAAGATGGTCAATATAGTATGGTGGGTCCTGCACTTTTCTTGAGGGGGGGGCTAAAATACCACCCCTTACCCCTGCTCTTGGGGCACCGAGGGCCCCACTAGTGGCCCAGGAAGGTGGTAAAGGAGGGAAGTGGGGGAGGGGTCTGGGTTTGCTCCTCACTCTAAGTCCCAGCCCCTCTCAACCCCTGCAGGTTCTTACCCCCTTCTCCCTTGGGTGGGGTACCTTCAGTCCTTAAACACTGTGGGAGGGAATGTCCCTCTCCTGCTGGGGCAGGGTCTCCCTTACTCCGGTTTTCTATTCCTCCAAGTCTAACAGCACACCTCCAAGCTCCAGTCCTCTCTCCTTCCACCTTTCCCCTGACTGCCTGAAGCAGGGGGTTTTATTAGGTTTCTAACAGGGCCTTAATTGTTTACAGGTGCTCCAATTAACCTGTAGCAACCCACCCTAGTCTACAGGGAACCACGCCTTAATTAACCTAGGGTTTATATATTTCCCTTCTACCATTACCCACTGCTCCCTGGCCCTCTTGTATCACACACCTGTAGACTGGGAGCTGGCTCTGTCCTTAACTGAAGGGGGGAACAGGGTTGAATCCATGAGTGAGATCTTATCTATGCTTTAGATTAGCCCCTGTTCAGCCATCACAGGCCAGCAACTAGCATAGCTGCTTTGGTGCTAATTCCAACTATAGATACACGGAAAGCCATGATTTGCATCGGTTCAGGTTTCTCCCTGCTCGAAAGTCGGATAAGTTCAAAGGGTGCAAATCACAGCTTTTCTTACCTCTACATGGGGGTTTGCTACAGCACAGCTACACCAATTACTGGCCAGCAATGGCTACATCTCAATACAGACAAGGCCAAAGACATCTTTCCTTCCAAGTGTTAAAAAAAAAACCTCTCATTAAAGGAGGGTAGAAGTGATTGTCTTTTTTTTTCAGACTGTTTAAAATACTTTTCAATTCATTTTATTAAGTTTTCTGATGTCATAAACCTACTAGACTTCCAGCTGTCCATAGAGTCTTTCAGGGCAGAAAAGGCCTGCATTTCTAATGTTAAAAAAGGAGGGAAGAAAAACCTCTTTAATTAAAACAATATCCCCAAACAAAAACAAAACAACTCCTTCTTTCCCTACATCCTAGCGATACAAAAGCACTTATCCTGGTGCATAGATTTAGGTAGCAAAATGTAAGCACTCATGTGTGAAAATGTTGCCTCCATAATAATAATCTTCCCATATTCTTTTGTATTTGTAACCGTACTAAAGATCGAGATTTTGTGCCTTTTAAGGGTTTTTTTTTTTTTAAAAGCCTTCAAAAATATCTGTGATGGTGTTTTGTTACAGGCCTTTGGCAATTGGTGTTTTGGGTTCAGAAATGTGGGGCTTGTACCTCCTGGAAGATGTCAAGAGCCCTAAACTCAGCATCTGCTCTGAACTCTTGTAATTAATTGTTGTTTTTAGCAAGGATGAGAACGCTTCATTTTTCATGTTGTCCTCACGTGTTAGCATTTCTTTTCACACACACACACAAATACGGTTACCACAAGAATCCCTCTAAGCATGGATCCAAACCAGGGCCATCCCATACATTGCAAAGATGGGCATTTCACACGCCACAGGATGAGCCTCCCTTTAAAATAATGCTCTATTAATCAATGGTTACGATGCAGCAAAATCCCTTATGCAGTGCAGCCACATTCATAACGAATGGAGCAGTCGGAGGCCAATTTCCATATGCAGGGTTTGTAGAATTAGTCACTCCCATCACTGTTGAGCAGGAGTCATGTAGTTTAATGGCCCCATGCTGAGGATTTACACCCCCTGCTGTCATGATTAATATGGCAATGGAGATTGAACTGTGTGGACACATTGATTTATTGGGCTGCAGGGCAAGGAAAAGCAAATCCAGGCTACTTACCTCAGTGCAGACCCCTTCGGTGTTGCAATGCCATAGCCTTTGGAATCCAAGTTACCTCCCACCTTCATGGTGTCACATGGCTTGCGCTGCTCTATATACTCATTCATGGTGGACTCCAGGAGGTAGGCGTACTTCCCTTTCGACTTCCTCACCCGGATCATCCCCTCTTCTGTGGTCCTCACAAAAACGGAGGGTTCCGCTGATTTCATGTATGTCCACATCTTCTCAAACACGGCGATTTTAGATCGCTGCATGGGGCAACACAAGCCCAGCATGTATTAGACTGGAAGCAGAAGCTTGTGTACCAGTGGAGACTCAGAGTTGGCTTGAGCATGTACCTATGGTTTGTATTAGTTAAGGAAGGCCAGCTGTGTTAGAAATAGTTTAATGAGTGACTTTGGGTCAAAGAGCTCAAATACCCGGCAAGCCCTCTGGGCCATTTGCTTCAAGTAATTTCAGGATAAGAACAATCTAGCAATGAGTGTCATTCATCCAGGGCTGGATTGTTTCTGTTAGGTATAAGCAAGATGAAAGAGCTGCATGGGACTATATCTCCTTAGGGGGAACAATGGGAGGTGGCATTTTCAGCAAGCAGAATTCTCCACAGAGTCCCTGGTGTGGAGGGAGAGCATACCCTCTACCAGAAAGGAGAATTCACAGGAGGTGGAGCGGGGAGGGGTTATCACAGCCTATAAATACTGTACTTTGAGTACACCAATATACTTGGAAACAAGGAAAGTATTTAGATGCCAAAGATGGTAGGATGAGAAGCTAAGGCAAGGAGGGTGGAAATGTTCAGACTAGATGTTAGGGAAATGTGCTTAACAATAAGAGCAATTATATGGCAGAATAGACTCCCAAGGGAAGTGGTAACGTCTCCATCCCTGCAGATGTTTGAGGAGACATTAATGGGAATGTTGTAGGAAGCAAAATGAAGGAGGTAGACTAGATAACCAACATAATCTTTTCTGGCTCTGCTATGTATGTTTCTGCCATACATAATGGCAGCGTATTTATATATGGTAAGTGGTTCCATTTGATTACAGGGCAAACCAAAGACTTGTTATTCTGTAAACTTGAGTTGCAAGTCACAGGGTAATTACTTTTGGAACCGCTAAGTGTAATTACTCAGTAATGTGCAGAAGCATGTAATTACTGTATGTTTCTAGGTTATTTACAGGATTCAGCAAACTACATGATCTGTAGTTTCCATGGAATGGCACAAAGACTAACACGATATTTTTGATTTATATATGAAAGGCTTAACCATTTTCTCTTACCCTAAAAAATTCTTTAGTTGACCCAGCTTCCAGGGTCCCGTAGGCAATCTCTGTCTGCTTGGCTAAGTCTTCTGCACTCTCTATGGGGGACACCATCCGTTCCACTGTCAGGAAGGCAGCCAGGTTAGCCGTGTAGGAAGAGATGATGATCAAGGTGAAAAACCACCAGACACCACCAACTATGCGGCCAGAGAGGGATCTAAAGACAAAAGTGAAGGGTGAGGGGAATCAGGATGAAGGAGTAGAAGATACAATTCGGTGATATAGGCCAGAAGGGTGGTATGTGGTTTAACACCGTATCAGCGACTGTTGAGCAATACCAGCTCTTACACCTGTTTCCTGGGAAGCTCAGTGTCAAAACGGGAGAGTGTTTCTCTCTCTATTTCCTTGTTAAATGGGTCAAGAAACAGGCTTGAGTGAAACAAAACTATCACTGCGGCTGAAAAATAATGTTTGCAGAGTAACATTTTCTTTAATTTTCATTTTCTTTCAGATAAAAAAAGAAGAAGCAAAACACAGCAACAAACAATAGGAAACTTTAAATTCCTGGGTAGGGTAGTACCTACCTCAGATGGAATTCTTTACATATATCAGGAACAAGTGAAATCCTAGCAATGATATATGTCCAATGCTAGATAAGGACGGTAAAATGATCAGTCATGTGCAGAAAAGGCAGAAATATTTAACAAATGTTTCTCTTCTGTATTTGAGTCCTAGGTTCATGGAATTTAAGGCTAGAAGGACCATCAGGTAATCTAGTCTGACCTCCTGTATATCACAGGCTATTACATTTCATCCAGTTACTCCTGTACTAAGCCCATTTGGAAAGAAACAGGATGATGTAATTCATATCTTACAGTCATGATGAAATACTTTCTTTTCCATCAGTAACTAGGGAGGACATTAAACAGCAACTATTAAATTAAACATTTTTAAATCTGCAGAACAGGATAATGTGTATTACCCTGTCTGAGTACTTGTAAGAGTATTAAAAGAATGGGCCAAGACACTCTTTGAAACATGAATGTTGATTTTTAACAAATCTTGGAACAGTAGAAAAGTTCCAGAGCACTGGAAAAAAGCTAGTGTCATACCCATCTTTAAAAGGGGTAAATGGGATGACATGGGTAACTAGATGCTGACATAAATCCCGGGCAAAATCATGGAAAGGCTGCTATGGGATGCAATGAGTAGTGAATTAAAGAGTGGTACCATAACTAATGACAACCAGCATGATTTTATGGAAAATAGGTCTTGTCAAACAAGCATCTTTTTTTTCATATGAGATCACAAGTTTGGTTGATAAAGAAAACTGCATTGACATAGTATAATTAGACTTCAGTAAGGCATTTGACTTAGTTCTGCATGACCTTCTATAAAAACCACTATACAAAATCAGTGTAGCACATAACTAAATAGATTAACAACTGGTTAACTATTAGATCAGAAAAATTAACTGTATATGGGAAATCATTAGCCAATGAGAATGTTTCTACTGGAGACCCTCAGGGTCATTGCTCATTGGCCCAATGCTGTTCAATAATTTTGTCAGTCATCTGGCAGAACACATAAAATCATTTCTGGTAAAATGTACAGATGATCTGAAAAATGGTGGAGTGGTAAATAGTCATGGCACATGTCAGTTGTATAGACTGATCTGGATTGCTTGGTAAACTAGGCTCATCTGAACAATCTGCATTTTAATACAGCCCTGGGACAAGGGGAATTCTCCATCACTTGGAGTCTGTAAATCAAGACTGGATAGCTTGCTCAAAGATATGCTATCGCTCAAACAGAAATTATGGGTTTGATGCAGAGTTCAGCATGTGAGGTTCTTTGCCCTGTGTTATGCAGGAGATCAAACTCGGTGATCATAATAGTCCTTTCTGGCTTTATACTCTATGAATCTACTGCATTCTCTCTCCAGTCAGATTGCCAAATTACTCTAGGATCTGGAGACAGACAGATAGATTGCTCAAGCAGGAATCTATTTACTGCATTCAAACATTTTAATATAATTTTAAAGGGAAGATTCTGTTTTTAAAAGGGATTTTAATAATGATGCTTCCTCCTCAAATTACTTGTACTCTCTTTCCTTTTTTAGCCAAACCCATCTCTCAGGCAGGAAGGAAACCATAATGCTATTTCATGCAGCCAGGCTGGCAAGGACAGGGTTATCTATCAGAAACACTGCCTCCCTCCTGTAAGCTCAGCCTTTTCTCTCTGCAGTGTGTCTCTTTAACATCCTCTGTCACTGCTCTGAAATCTGGCCTGGACTATGGTAATGGAAATATAGCCTTTAAATGACAGACACGGTGATGACACATGTCAGCATCCATTCCATCCTGTGTCTGAGTTTGCATGAGTAAATGGATCCAACAGCCATGCTTTCTAGAAGTCATTGTGGGCTAATACAATTTGGCAAACAAAACTCCACACCCCATTGCTCCAGCTAGGTAAAAAACAAACAAAAGCCACACTTCACTAATCACAGAAATCAGAGATGGAAAAAGAGTGAATTAAAGTATTCTGTTCCCTGCACCGCTCCTCTATATTGTATATTACTGCTTTGTCCGGGCTATCTTTAAATCTCTCGCGGATGTGGGAGTAGCTGTTCTTTCAGACATCATGTATCTCATTTATATCAATCTGACCTGAAATCCCTTTGGTCAAAATTGCCATTCTTTGAGCTCAGAGAGACACCACTTAATGGAAACCAGGGACCACATTTGCTCAGCAACAAAACTCTTCTGAATACATTTGCAATTGGCAGAAGGGAGACCACACATTTTTAATCTCAGGGAAATAAAAGCCAATGCATCAAACACACTCTCAGCTTCACACTCCTGGAAGAGCAATCAGAGCAGTTTTTGCAAAGTGCAGAGAGAGCAGGCTGCAGGAAATACAGCACAGTAAATAACAGCAAACTGTTTATTTTACTTATTTTTTCTTCTTCCAGATTTGTGAGTGAAATGATTGCTTATGAAAGTAGAATTGGCTTTCCAGCCCCTCTGCCAAGGCATCTCAATGCTGACCTGTAGCCCCCTGGCTACTTCAGTCCTAGGCTTACTTAACCAGTCATGTATATTGCAGGCTGCTTCTGTGAAGTCAGCAAACTCATTATCACCTGAAACCTGAGCTGGAGGTGAAAGATTTCAAAGCAGTGGAATGTATAGTCTCACGTAGAATCCTGCTCCCTGATCTAGTTAATATAACTTACCTCTGAAGTGATGTTCATAAAGGTGATTGTTTCTATTCTTTAAAAAAATCACCTCTTACAAAGCAATAAGAACCCCATCTTTTTAATATAGGGCAGGTGGACAGGTTTCATGACTGTAGGACACTGTTATAGTGTGACCATCTTGCAGCTGTTCAGAACCCAGTGTGACACAAGTTAGTTGCCTTGGCCCAGATGAGTTGTTGGCTATCTCAGCAAAATGGCCAATGACTAGATGGTCCCAGGGACTGAACTGCCTCCCATAGAGGTGTATGCAGTGTAGTTGTAGCTGTGTCAGTCCTAAGACATTAGAGAGACCAGGTGGGTGAGGTAATATGTTTTATTGGACCAACTTCGGTTAGCGAGAGAGACAAGCTTTCGAGCCACACAGAGCTCTCAGATGCTCCGAATACCTTTTCCAGATCTCAAGAAGAGCTCTGTGTAGCTTGAAAACTTCTCTCTCTCACCAACAGAAGATGGTTCAATAAAACATATTATCTCCCCCACCTTATCTCTCCCCAAGAGGTGGTCATTCTAAATCAGAGTTAAGGAATGATGTGGGGAAATGGGAACTAACACAACATTCTTTCTGCAGAGGATTTCAGCCTCCAGGTCCATCAACTCCAACGCCTTTCACCAGAGTTCACAACACATTACTTTTAATAAATGGTGGAGGGAATGGGGAGGAATTGATGGGTTCAGTGAACACACCTTTGGATCTGCTGGAAAACAAAAAAAACCCAAAATGTTTCCCTAATTAGTCTAGATGATGTGTGTTTGGGGAAGGAAGCACTTGTAAGAGGCAATAGAAGCACCAAACAAGAGTAACCGGATAACGTCAAATCCAATACTTTCTGATGACGAAGGCCACTTCAACCTGGCAAGCGACACTTGAATAGCTAATTATTACATTCATCCTCCAGCTGCAATTATACCGCTTTTCTTCCCTGATGAAGCTGGGATATATTTGTGACTTAATTCCAGTCAGCTGCAGTCAACTGGACCCCAGCCTTTAGACTGGAGACATCATTACCTTATTCTTTATTGATTTATCGCGTAGGGGCTGCCTACGGTTAGCTGCAGATGGCTTTTGCTTCCAGATCATGCGCCTGTCATGAGCTGGATAAAAAAGTAACAATGGGGTATTGGCATCTGCTCCCTGCAGAAGACGACACCCAGTGGAAACAGCCACTCACCCTAGTGTCATAGCAATGTGCCTTACCACAAGCGGAAGCAACACAAACCTCACACACGGTTATGTTTTGGTGTGTGATGGTTCATCAGAGACAAAGTTGAAGAGCAACATTTTGTCCCCATTGCTAGATATGCAACTTAGAGTGAGGAACCTTAAATCTAGGCCTCTGTGAGTACATAATAATGAATTGAGTCAGATTGCAAGCACTTTGGGGGCAGAGGCTATCTTTTAGGTTTGTGTTTGTACAGGACATAGCACAATGGGTTTCTGGCCCATGAATGGGGGCTACCGCAGTACAAATAAATAATAATAATGAAGGGAATATGTCCATGATGAAACGTCACACGATTGGATGTAACCCTACCGGGCATTTCTACAATTCGATATCAGTGACATATGTTAAGCAGAAGGTTCTCAAGTTGGAATTTTCGGGTCACACAGATAGACTAGCCAGACTCTGGACCCGTGCTCAGTAGAACAATGGTACTGCTGACCAAATTTAAATGACTGAGAAGACAATAGCAGCTTATGTAACATATTTTATAGCCCTTGCCCTGTTGCATCTGTAGACTGAAAAGAGGCAGCAGTGCTATCACCATGGATACAGTTTTCAAAAGTCCCTAAGTGACTTAGGAGACCAAGTCCCATTTTCAAGTGACAGACACTTAGGAGCTTCCATTTCATTGCAAGCCAATAGGACTTAGTCTCCTAAGTCACTTCGACGCTTTTGAAAATTGTATCCCATAGAGATTCACCTAAATTGTATCCTAACAGAGATTCACCTACA